AACTTGCTACCTTGCTTACCACTACTCTAAGTCCCACATCTGAATTCTTTCTTTCCTGAATACAAGAATTTCTATTTCATCCATATCTGCTAACACTATCTCATGTCTCCATCTTTTAGAGGTTTCCTATCTTTTCTTTGCTGGTGTTCAGTGCCAGACATCTTGAAATGCAACTATTTGTTTTGTTCTCTAGTTTGTCATTGTGGAGGAGGAGGCATCTTTGGGCATCTTTTATGACCATCTTGTCTGTTCTCAGGGAATATTTGAGTAAGTGAAAAATCTCAAATCCTAAATTGTCTAAATTTTTACACCTAATCCACCCTCTGTTTCCTTCCTACCCTCAAAGCCCTCACTGTGTCTCCTGCAATCCTTTTAATTTGCTTAGCTGTCACCAATTCTTACTGAATTAACTCTTATATTTTGTTCAAAGTTGCAATGCCTCTCTTCTCTTATCATGACCACCACCCTAATTCAGGCCATTTCATTTATCTCCATGCCTGGTTCTCCCAGCGGGGTCCTCCCAGGGCTGGCTCCTGCCTCTTGAACCCCTCTGCCAGCTGCATCATTTCCAATCTGTACCTCAAGTACTCAGTCTCCCTGTCGTGGTGCACCAGCACCTGCTCCAAACCGTTGGCCCTGTGCCAACTGTCCAGATACTTTGTGTACTGCGTGGAGACCCGGAACACAAAGCTGCACTCCTCTTGCTGCAGCTACTCCTGCAGTTCGTGAATTCTTCTCTTGCATTCCTCTATTTCTGCTGTAGTCGAATTCGTTTTTCCTCTTTTGCAGACAGCTGCCTATCCATATTGATCCGCTTCTGTCTTCCCATCGCCATTTCCTGCGCCATGGTTCAGTAGGAGGAAGCCGTGCAAGGGCAGCAGGGTGTCTGCAGCGGTGTCCAGCTGCACGCCGTCCTGTTCACTGGCAGACTCTGCCAGTCCCTGGGATAACTGTGCCCCCATCTCAAGCAGTGTATCGTGGGAAAATCTGGGAGCCCCGAGAAACCAGCCAGGGAGCCCCGGGCTCTGAAACAAACAGCCAAGGACATGGTTCCCACGCAGGCCGAGTGGCAAGAAGTGAAATAGATGCTGTTGCAGCAGAGTGTGCTGGGCCACTGGGTGTGGAGCGCCGCGCTCCTGAAGGTCTTGACTCAGGGATTCACCCAGTCATTGCTTCTAGATGATGCTGGCTCCGTCCTGGCCATGGCTACCAGCTGGGATGAGCTAGAGATTCAGGAGGAGACCGAGTCTGGCAGTAACATCACATCCACGATCCGGCTGCCTACACAACTGTCCTGGTATGTGCAGTCCTTCCTGTTTAGTCTCTGCCAAGAGATTAACCGGGTCAGGGCCCATGCCTTGCCAAAGGTGAAGTTGCAGGAGATGCTGAGGAGCTGATGGTTCAAGTAAGAGCTGCCTACGAGAAGCTTTCAGAAGAAAAGCAGAGGAAGAAGGAAGGTACATTCCCAATAACCCAGAATCGGGCACTGCAGCTACTGTGTGACCTGCACTATCTCAACATAGTCCTGACAGCCAAGGGTGAAGAGGGGAAGAGTGGCCGAAGCAAACCGGACTCCACAATTGAGAAAGTAACTGCCTACCGGAAGGACTCATTGACCCGTTTGACCTGGATGTGGGCACACCACATCTCAACAGCAACCTTACCCGCCTGGTGCAGCGAACTTCTGTCCTATTTGTATTGGTTGCTGGGACAGAGAATCAGTTCATCTCTAGGAGCAATGCATTCAACTCCCAAGAACCCCACAACATCCTGCCCTTGGCATCCAGTTAGATCAGGTTCCGGCTGCTTACCCTGAGCATGACAACCAACCACAAGGCTAAACTGACCAGAAGTGTCCAAACAAAAGCCAAGCAGGGTGACCCCTTGGCACTCTCCCTGGCAGAAGACCCGACAATGCATGCCGACTCCCTGTTCAGACAGCTCGTGAGCCAGGAAGATGACACGTCTGCGTCCGCGCCGTTGTTATTCAAGCTTGGCTGGCTGTCTAGTATGACTAAGTAGCATGGGAACATATCCGCCTCTAAATAAATACTACTGCATCACTTCTAAAAAAAAGGGAATCTTGGAATTCCTCCAACATTCTGTGCGAGCCCCTTTTCAGTACATTCTCCATGTTGTAGCTTGAGTGATATTAAAATGAAAATCTCATGAGTGACTCTATTGTTTATAATATGTCAAAGCCTTCTTACCATATTGGGAATAATTCTAGAGCTCTAAATATGGCTTCTGATGCTGTGAATATTGTCATCTCAGCATCCCTCCCTACTCAATCTGAACTACTTTCTTTCTCTTTATGCACTAGACTTAATGTGATTTTCAATGTCTTACTCATATTGTGCTTTTTGTTGACTCAGATCTCTGTACAAGCTTCTGTCTTTGATGATCTTCTACCCACCTGGTTCTCCTTATGTACCTTCCACATCTCAGCCAAAGCCTGGAAATCTCCATGATTGCCCTCCTCATGCTTAGTTATCAGCACCTCCACAATGCATTTTTATTACAACCCACATTGCTCTTTCTTAAACCTCATTGTGTTGTGTGAGTGGGGTGTCTCAAAGTATATTTATTCCAAGTTCATTTTCAGCTTGAGAGATGAATTCAGAGCAGAGACATAGATAAAGTGTAAGAATGGGAACAGGATTCATGTAGAGATTAAAGATAGTACATACTCAACAAGAGTATAGGCATCCTCAAGAGAGTATTTCACCCAATATAGTTCAGCCACCATGTGCGGCCTGCCGCACCAGTCGAACGAAACCTGAAGGAAGGAGTGGGAATGAAAAGAGGGACAAGGGCGCAGAGAATGGAGCCAAGACAACAAGGCTGATCAAGGCTCGTTTATTCCAGCTTCTCAGCAATATTTATCCATCACCAGTTGCAGCTCAAGGCAACTCAGAAGTTAACAACATACACAAGCAACTTATTGGGCTTTCTATAACACAATCACAACATAGTTAATTTTAGCAGAGTGCATCCTCCTTCAACATGGGAGTGTGGGACTTTTTCATCCCAGGAATTCCACAAGCCAAGACTGACCTTGACTTGTCTATGACTTGTTTATGGGCTGCCTACACCACCACTTTTATTGGGCAGTGTATGGTGCCCTACTTGAAAATGTAAGTGGTGGAGTTTGGCTTGGGTTGAGTGTGATGATTTCTTGGAAGGTTTAATGGTATCCCCACATGAATCTCAGGATACATATGTTCACCATGGCATCTTCTGCATGATGGAGGAGGCTCAGGTGCATCTTGGGAAACTGGGAGTGTCAAAGAGGCATGGAAGGGGGGGGAATTTAAGTGGTATGGAAGGGGGAGGAATTTAAGTGGTGCAGAGCTACGGCAAGGAGACACATTGCAGCCTAATACCTCCTTTTTTCACTAATACACTCCCTACCTGACCCATATCCATAACATTTACATTCTTTGCTTCATTTCTATTTATGCTCTCATAGTGTAAACCACACGAAAGCAGGAACACATCTTCCTTTCCATTTCTTTATCATAGGCACATTCTGACTGGTACATGTTCATCAATGCACTTTTGCTTAAAGATTGTATGTTTCTTTGTTCTTTGATTTGACCCCAATTTGGGGAGGCACACTTGTATAGCATGGCTTCCAGAAATCAGAGTATGTGGTCCTTTTCTCACTTAGCTCTCAGTTCTTGGCCTCTGTGGACTCTCCTTAGCCAGCAGAGTTCCCTCCCTGTAGGAAGGAAACTATGTGGCTTAGGTGGGATGAAGCCTTTTTGGAAGACAGAACTTCTGTATTGCTGAAGAGGATAAACCTGTACCACATTTCCAGTGTTATTGAGGTGGGATAGAGAGGCCATGTTGGGTGGGTTGCATTGCCCCTCTCAGTCACTCTTGCTAGTGGAAAGCTCAAGAACAGATGATGAAAATTGACAGTGGAGAAGGAAGTGGAGGTAGATATACACGTACTGATTATCCATTTACTCCTTTAGCAGTCCTTAGAACATCTCTTTCAAATTCAACTCATTTTCCCTAAAGATGAAGCTAAATAAGCAGACAGAATTAGCAATCTCCACTAAAACTATACACTTTCAAAAACTGAAGTGTCTTGTACTTGATCATCTATGCATGTGTTCTTCATTCATCAAATATTTACCAAGGCCTCTTTTGTTCTGTTCCTAGACCATGAGCACAGGATACAAAGACAAATATACTAGAAACCATTTTACTGAGGAAGTCACATGCTGATTGGAAAGGAAATTCCTCCATTTTTTAAAATACAACACAAAGGGGTTGATGCTATGACAGACAGATATGAGTAATGCTTGAGGAATCAGGAGAGTGAGGTGGGGTTTGTAGTTAGTATTTGAATTCTCGTACCACTTTATGTCTTATATAAGTGGTTGTATAATCTCTAAGATTTTGACTGCATCTTCAATGTTATTCCCACTATCAATATGATTTGGGAATTTCTACACTGTATCTCAGTTCTCTGTGAGAGAAGATACCCAAGGTTAAAAGGATAGAATATGGAGACAGATGTATTGGACTTCAAGTATGGGTCCATCCCTTACCTTACATTATCTACTCCCACTTCCAGAAGAGCATGCAAATGCTGGCATTTCAGGATGTGATGAATGTGATACATTTAGCATGAGGTCTGGCATGCTAAATTATATATATATTTCCCCAGGGGATTACAGTATTTTTTGGGGGGTTGTTATCACAAAAAGAATTTTGCTTATGTTGATCTTCCAATGACACAAAGGCATATGATTTTTTTCTTTAAAGTGATTTATTGGCTTAAGCACAATTAAACATCCTATAAATGTGTTTTAAATATTTACTAAAATATGCGTAACATATCTATTCATTTGAGGTAAATGTACAAATCTCAAGAAATTATCTGCCTCTGAAGCTGAGAACTTTCAAGTTGCCAAGCCATTATGAATTGTTTTTCCCAATTAATACAAATAAAATTTCATAAAATCAATCACGTATACATTATCTCATCTTCACATATTAAATTGTCTCTATATAAAAAACATTAAAGTAGTATCCTAACCATGATATTTTCAGTTCTAAGAAAAACATAATTTGTGTGCCCAGTGCCCAGGACATGTTTCCATCCATGGGAAGGAATGCCCATTACGGACAATAACCCTGGATGCTTGCACTACATCATGTGCATAGCCCTCAGGCTGTGCTCTAGGAATACCTCGAGGCTGCGCAGGATGCAGTGAATTGTCATTTACTTCAGCCACTTGTTCTTTGATTGCAGCTTCTCTAGCAGACCAGATTTGGTGGATGGGCTAAGAGTGGGTACTACTTTTATCTTCTTTACCTGAAGAGAAAAGAGGTTGGCTACTTAGTGTAGTAGTTAAAAAACTGCTGGGTTTGCCTGTAACTAATACTGAATTCTTGGGTTTGAATTCAGATTCACTCCTCATTCCAGCTTCCTCCTAATGTACACCCTGTGAGGCAGCAGGTTATGTCAAGTAGTTAGTTTCCTACCCATTGTGGAGGCGATCTGCACCAGAGTTATCAAATCCTGGCTTTTGACTCACCCAGGCCTGACTGTTGAAGTCATTTATGGAACCCACCAGCATATTTGAGACCGTTCTCCCTGTATACTTATTTTCTCTGCCACTCTACATATCAAGTCATATAAATAAATAAATAAATAAATAAATACAACTTTTTAATAAAAGGAATTGCTGAAATAGTGAACAAATTATTTCAATGGAGTGATGCTCTGGACTTTGCAAAGATTTTCAAATTTTGGCTGCGACTCATTTGGGGGCTTGCTCCTACTTGGTCAGTTTGAGGCTTGCTTCTTCACTGAGCCCAGGTCGGTAGGATCCTTTCATAGCAACTGAATTAATATCCCTTTCCTGTTTTATCTTCTATTAGATCATAGTGTTAGGTAGGAAGTCAGTTATGAGCTTTTGTGTGTGTGTGTGTGACATAAAGGCCTACAGAGAAGACATCTATGTCCAGCATATGCATCTGCTGACAATGTTTCAGGGGCAGCCCGGTATTCGCATCCTGCCCTGCCCCCTTCTACCTGATAACCTGCCAGGTGGAGGTCCCCACCCCTTCTGCCTGACAAATCTTCCACAATCTCCCAGGTGCAGCCCAGTATCTGCATTTCAAACACCCTGCTCCGGATCCCCATTCTCTAGGGGGTCCTGCTCGCCCTTCCTCTGAACCCAGGATGGCGCCAGCTAGGCTTCCTCCTGCATAAAATCCTTTGTTTCAGGAGGAGATGTATGCAGACAAAGACCCATCTCCTTAAACACCCCCCCCCCCCCCCCCCCCCCCCCCCCCCGGCCTCAACTGGACTGCGTGCTCAGCCCTCTGCCTCTCTGCTGAGCCGCCTACCTGGTCTGGCCAGGTGTAATCTCTCCTCTCAACATGTAACCTTGCTCCCTCCCACCCCAGTCTGGGCGACTGGGCACCCTCTCAGGTCCTGGGAGAGGTGCCCATCCATCCTTACGGATGTCTCTTCCCTAATAAATCTTGCTGTTTTACCTCCCACTACTCTCTGTCTCACGCCTGAATTCTTTCTTGTGCGAAGACAAGAACCCTACAATTTCTCTGGTAACAATAGGAATCTCAGGGGCAGCATCACTGTCATTTCTGTCATTTTATACAAACAGTGCCTAGAACAGAGTTGAAATACAAGGGTGAATTAACAATGCTCAGTTAAAGCATTTTAAATGGTTCATAAGTGGCCCATAAGTCTAACAGTTTTCTCTAGTTTCACTTTCACCATCCGCCAACATCATTTGGATGCCGAATCATCTGGTTATGTAAGAATGACAAGAAAAACTTTCCCATAGGCTCATCCACAAGAAGATAAGGAACCAGTGGAACCTCCAAGTGAAGTCTTGAAGTGCTGTTGCATGACATCACAAGGGGTCTTGATAGAAATGTGAATATCTGGGGTCTGGCATTGTGGCAAAGTGGGTAAAGTCACTTCCTGTAATGCCAGCATCCCATATGGGCGCTGGTTTGAGTCCTGGCTGCTCCACTTCTGATCCAGCTCTCTGCTATAGCCTGGGAAAGCAGAAGAGGATGTCCCAAGTCCTTGGGCCCCTGCACCCACATGAGAGACCTGGAAGAAACTCCTGGCTCCCTGGCTTTGGATTGGCCCAGCTCTGGCTGTTGCGACCAATTGGGGAGTGAACCAGCGAATGGAATACCTCTCTCTCTCTCTCTCCCTCTCCTTCTCTCTGTGTAACTCTGACTTTCAAATAAATAAATAAATAAATAAATATTAAAAAAATTCTTGGTTCCTGACTTTGGCCTGGCTCAACCCTAGCCAGTGTAGTCACTTGGGGAGGGAACCAGTGGATGGAAGATCTCTCTCTCTCTCTCTCTCTCTCTGTAACTCTGACTTTCAAATAAGTAAATCTTTAAAGATATGTGAATCTTGTTCACCCAATCCCAGTCCTGCTCAGATAATGCATTTCAACACAATCCCTGGGGCATTCCTGTGCATATTAAGTTCCAGAAATCCTGGTTGAATTTGACAATAAAAGGGGCAGAGATAGGATTAACAGTGACTATTGCATTTATGGGCCCTTCTAACTTCACTTTAACTCACTCATACAATATTGAATTATCAACCTTATATTATCTGCCATTTGATTGTCCAGCTGTTGGTGGACTAAGCCCTTGGTGCTTTCCAGACTTAGATGTGAGCATTTTTCTGCATTAACTCCCCAATAAAAAAACTGGAGAAAAGAGGTCGAACAACCGTGATGAAAAGAAGTTTACTTTGCAGGAAATAAAATGTTAAAATACTTTCTGTGCTCTTGTTCTTCATAGTTATGGGTAACTGGACATGCTTGGGGGCATCTCCTCTGACTCCTTGGACAATTTTTTTCTTAGCTCTGAAACTATTGGACATTGATGTCAAAATTCATCTCATTTCATAGAGTTTTAAATGCTGTTATGAGCATCCTTTGCACAAGAAAGACAAAAACAAAGCAGAACAAAAACAAATTTTTCAAAAAAAATTTACCTAACAGGACATATTTATCAGACACTTCTCATTTATATGAAGCCATGTTTTTGAAGCAGTATCACATTTTGGACTTGTCCAGATGCCTTTTTTTTTTTTTTTTTTTGACAGGCAGAGTGGACAGTGAGAGAGAGAGACAGAGAGAAAGGTCTTCCTTTTTGCCATTGGTTCACAGCGCATCACGCTGATCCGATGGCAGGAGCCAGGTGCTTCTCCTGGTCTCCCATGCGGGTGCAGGGCCCAAGCATTATGGGCCATCCTCCACTGCACTCCTGGGCCACAGCAGAGAGCTAGCCTGGAAAAGGGCAACCGGGACAGAATCTGGCACCCTGACTGGGACTAGAACCTGGTGTGCCAGTGCCGCAAGGCAGAGGATTAGCCTATTGAGCCACGGCGCCGGCCCCAGATGCTTTCTTTCAGTCTCTCTCCCTATGTACAGAGTGAGCAGTGAAGAAGCACTCACCTTTTGCATTAAGAGCTCAGTCTCGACTTGCAAACTGATCTGCACATCTTTGGCTCTGGCATTTTCCTCATCATTTCTAAATTTATTCTGAATGTACTCCAGGTATATCTGAAACTCCAAAAGTTCAATGGTGATTCTCATCAGACAAATCTCCTACAAGGAAAGATTCAGGAAAATTGGTTACTGTTAGAAAATATAATCAACCTTAAAGTGTAAATTTCTGTAATTTGGCATTTTCTCTGACTGCCCCTCTAGGAATTTCTACTACGTTTCACACATTATGTTTGGGAAATCAACCAGCATCAGCTGTCTCATTGTGAATGTTGATACAAACACATATTTACTTATGTATCATTTTTTTCAGAGCCCACCAGATGCTAGACTGTGGAAATTGAGATCCTCCTCTGATTCTCCTCTGAATGCCATTGGCAATGTTGGAGTGCATACTCTTTTCTAGAAGAATCCTTGAAACAGAGTAGGTTATCTCACTGTCTGGAAGGACAGTGTATGTACAATGACTTCAGCAAGCAGTGCATGGCAAAGTCATGCTGGGCCAGCCAGAGATGAGAACAGTCCCTGGCCTACTCTAAGGCAGAGTTACACAGAGAGGGGGAAGCAAAGAGAGAGAGATCTTCATTCCCCAAATGGCCCCCACAGCTGGAGCTGAGCCAGTCCTAAACCAGGAGCCAGGAGCCAGGAGCCAGGAGCCAGGAGCCAGGAGTTTCTTCCAGGTCTCCCATGTGGGTGCAGGGGCCCAAGGACTTGAGCCATCTTCCACTGCTTTTCCAGGCACATTAGCAGAGAGCTGGATCAGAAGTGGAGCAGCTGGGATTTGAACTGGCCGCCCATATGGAACGCCGGTGCTGCAGGTGGCAGTTTAACCTGCTACGCCACAGCGCCGGCCTTGTGATTTCTAACAACTGTGAAAATCCCAGCAATTGACTGCTCAGAGATAAACTGCCTTTTTAACAGTCTACATTGGCTTCCTCATGAAATTTACATGTATGGTATTCTTTACATCCATCTCTTTCTTTGTGGGCTCCTGTGTCCATGTGAACTCAGGGAGAACCTGTGCCTAAAGAGTAGCTACCAGAGAATGTGACACAATTGTACCTTATTCAATGCAGTTGGGGAGCATTTGTCTTTTTCTGTCAGCTTCGGAAGGTTCAGGTCAGGTGCTGCCAGCGCTGCAGTCCTGTTTAAACACTTGGCATTGTAGTCACACATCTGGGAATGAATACCAGATTGTTAGCATTTGCGTGCCCTTCAAACAAACATACTGAACACTGAGTCATGCTGTACCTCAGCCAGGAAAATCTCTAAGAAGCATAGAGTTGCAACTGTAAAATCCCTGACAATTAATAGCTCACTTCAGAAATGTCAGCAATTTCAAAGGTGATTTTGAGTGAGTGAATATAATTCAAGCAATAGAGTGACGAGGCTGGAAGGAACGGTGAGACGCCCCCCAGCCTCCTGTATAGTTTCTCAGGTGGATCTAGAGGTGATCGAGAATATGCCCCAAATCATGAAACGCTGGAGAGCCAGAAGTATTCGGGGCCTCCAATGCCCTTTCCTGTGCTCATTTCTTTCTACCCAAGATACCTTGTAATTAAGGTTTAAACTTGGCTCTACTTCAGATTTTGCCATGTTGGTGGGTCCAAGGGATGCACTTCAAATAGCTTGTGGAGTTGTGACCACTGAGGTTTTACAGATGAAAGGAAATGCAACCACCTTGAAAAACCAAACATCCACCACGTCCTCCCAGAGCCCAAGGATGTAATGAAGGTTTCCAGGCCTGTTCTTCAGTTAGGAAAAGCAAGGCTTCAGAAGCAAGGACCTTCAACTCATGAGAAAAATGGAGCTGAGAATGGGCCAAGGAGCATATATTTCAACCCCATTCTGTATTTTCCAGGAAAGGAAGATCCATCCTGAGACCAAGAGCAGAAGAGAAATTCAGAAGACAGGTAGCCTGTCTCTTTGGTCTCAGTTTCTCAACTCCAAAGTAACCCAGCACACAACAAATTCTGCTCAGTGTAGGAGCCCCTGTATTCATCCAGAGACAATCAGAATAAAAGCCCACATGGGCCCTTCCAACACCCCCCCATGCCAAATATGTCTACTTTTTCCCGCAGTTCAAAGATCTTCTTGGTGATATGTATCATGTGTTCTCCAGCTTTTCCTGCAGTTGACTGTGGTATGTTTGAAGTGGCATCATTTGTGAATCCTTCTGTGAGAGGCAATGGAGTGTGGAAAGCCGTAGCCACCACCAGGAGCAGCCCCAGGGAGGAGGCAACTGGACCTGGACAGAAAGCACCTGTACAGAAAGGAGAACAGCAAGTGAACTAAGAGCAGAGATGGCTGGGTGCTGCTGCTGTGTTGGCTGAGGCAGGCAGGTCAGCTCTAACAGAGTCCACACACACCCTCCCTCCCACAGTCCTTGGGCAGGCTAGGCTGCTTGCATTTCTAAGGCTCATGTTTATTGTGAGCAGACTGAAATTTTGAAATCCATGGTTGTGGGGGTAAGGGCAGCAAATTGGACTGATAAGTCCTTAATGAGATTATGCAACTGGATATCCTTTAGCATGGCAGGAATCACTAGTGGGGGAAAGTGTGGATTACAATATCCCCAAGGCTAGCCCTACTGCTGTCCTTTCTTTCTCACCTTCTCTTGCTCACTTTTTATTTCTTTGGTGACTCAGCACAAAAGAATATGAAAGTAACACAGAAGTCATACTCCAAGTTTATCAGTAGGAAAAAAAAGACACTAAAGGTCACTCTGATTTTTTTTAAAAGAACTTTATTTATAAGTTTGAGACTGAAATTTAGTATTACAGTTTTCTGATATTTGTTTTTTTTTATTTTTATTTATTATTATTTTTTTTAATCTTTTATTTAATGAATATAAATTTCCAAAGTACGACTTACGGATTACAATGGCTTCCCCCCCAAACCGTCCCTCCCACCCACAACCCTCCCCTTTCCCACTCCCTCTCCCCTTCCATTCACATCAAGATTCATTTTCGATTATCTTAATATACAGAAGATCAGCTTAGTATACCTTAAGTAAGTATTTCAACAGTTTGCTCCCACACAGAAACATAAAGTGAAAAATAATAGATGATTTTTTTTTAAATGATGATGAAATCAGATCAGACCTATTGTCATGTTTAATCCCAGTGAGAGTCAAGTTGGGAATTGATAATTTCTTTCTTTTTTTTTTTTTTATTTTATATTTAGACAAGAAGATCAGTTTAGTGTACATTAAGTAAAGATTTCAGTCGTTTGCACCCCCATAGAAACACAAAGTGAAATATACTGTTTGAGTACTCGTTATAGCATTAAGCCTCAGTGTACAGCACGTTAAGGACAGAGATCCTTCATGAGGAGTAAGTGCACAGTGACTCCTGTTGTTGACTTTACCAATTGACACTCCTGTTTATGGCATCAGTAATCTCCCTATGCACCAGTTATGAGTTTCCAAGGCTATGGAAGCCCCTTGAGTTCTCCGACTCTTATCTTGTTTAGACACGGTCATAGTCAAAGTGGAGGTTCTCTCCTCCCTTCAGAGAAAGGCACCTCCCTCTTTGAAGACCTGTTCTTTCCACTGGGATCTCACTCACAGAGATCTTTTTGCCAGAGTGTCTTGGCTTTCCATGCCTGAAATACTCTCATGGGCTTTTCAGCCAAGTTTTCTGATATTTGTAAAAACTTTAAAATGTTCTGATTTTCTTTAGATTAGAACAGAGCCCTAAAGACTGGCATTGTAAGGAGGAAAGATACTACCAGTCATACCAGTACCTTTATTTCTTGGCTGCTGCTGGGTCTAGCTGTTACAGAGCTGCCTGACCACCTCGACATCTCATGCAGTCATTTCCAGGCATCTCTAGGTGGGGTGTGCTTGTGAGAATGGCTTGGACCAACCAGTTTTCTCTTCATGTCTCTAGTCCATGTCATCTTCCCATCTCAACTGTAGCCCCTTGGCAAGTCTCCTCGTGAGAATTATGTTCTTTGTGCCAGAGGAATGTTCTGTTATGCTAGTTCTCTCCCCACTGCCACCTGAGTCTCTCCACCATTGTCAGCATCCTTGGGATCCTACTCCTCTTAGGGTGTAAAGACAGGTCCTGGATATGCTGGAGCCCTCAAGTTACTGAAGTCTACTTGGTTCAGGACAAAAATGTGAAGAGTAATATTTAATTCTTTGAAAGGGCTGCCAAGGAGAGCCTGTAGCATCTTCTAGATCTTGTGTTTATAGCTTCTTTCAGTCACTTGATTTGTGACTGGAAATAAACAACTAATATAGGCCTGACTCCAGCCTCTGAATCAGAATTCCTTTCTAATGCTAGAGTTTTCTTTGTTGGTTCAAGCTTGGACAGATTCCCTATTACTTTAGGATGGGTTCATCAGGGGATCCCTCAGACTCATACACATGGATTCAGACCATGTCACCCCACTGGTCTGCATATACCCACCTAGTTCTGTGGATGATTCCTGGCTAAAATCAAGACCCTAGCATGGCTCCAAAATTAGTATAAAATAAGACACGATTAAACTGATTCCTTTGCTTTGCAAAGGGAATTTCCTTCAAGATTGCCAAAGCAGTGATCTCAGTTGTGGTCCCGATGGGTCACGGCACTTTTAGTTTTTTTTTTTGGACAGGCAGAGTGGACGGTGAGAGAGAGAGAGAGACAGAGAGAAAGGTCTTCCTTTTGCTGTTGGTTCACCCTCCAATGGCCGCCGCGGCCGGCGCACCGCGCTGATCCGATGGCAGGTGTCGCTCCCCCTCTTCGCAGAGGAACGACACAGGGCCCTGCACTGTTCTTTTTGTCTGCTCGGCCCTCCCCGGGTTTGCTGCTGGTTCTTCCCGGGTTGGCTACCGTCCCTTCCACCTCCGTGGAAGGGCGGTTCCCCCTGCCACTTTCCCCACTTCCGCGGGGGAGCGGCACACCGCCGGCCGGCTCTCTCGGGGGCTGCTCAGATGTTATTCGGATATTCCCCTTAGATGTTCCTGGTGCATGTTGTCTCTCTCCTCCTTTATAGTCCTCTTCCACCAATCCCAACTCTGCTACCCACACACCGAGTACGCTGCTCTTCTCCAATCAGGAGCGGGATCAGCTCCTGCAGGTTACTGGTTGAACTGGAGGCAGCTGTGTAAAAGTTGTTTTTACTCCTCTCCCAGCGCCATATTGTGGGAGAGCAGATGCATAGAATAAGTCTTAATTCCAGTCTAGTCTAGTCCGAGTTGCTCCCCACAGCAGGAGCCAGGTGCTTCTCCTGGTCTCCCATGGGGTGCAGGGCCCAAGCACTTGGGCCATCCTCCACTGCCTTCCCGGGCCACAGCAGAGAGCTGGCCTGGAAGAGGGGCAACCAGGACAGAATCTGGCGCCCCGACCGGGACTAGAACCCGGTGTGCCGGCGCCGCAAGGCAGAGGACTAGCCTAGTGAGCCGCGGCGCCAGCCGGCACTTTTAGTTTTAAATGCAAATAGAGAGAAGGATGATTGATTATTTTGCTCTTAGTGATTTTAAGGATCAAGCAGCTTTGACCCCTGAGCAGGATTTTCTCTCCTGCAGTGAATGATTCCAGCTCCCCTGGCTCCTCCACAGAACCTTATGAGAAGGTTCTGTGATTTGGGGTTGTGTTTTCTCAAGTATCTTTTTTTTTGAAAATTATGATTCAGAAAATTTCAAAACTTGAACTTAGTGACAATACAGTATACAAATTTATCCTCCCAATAAAAAGTATTTTAAATAGGAAGTATGTAGGCCCACATTTGGCATAATCATTAAGATGGCAGTTGGACAAGCAGAGTTAGACAGTGAGAGAGAGAGACAGAGAGAAAGGTCTTCCCTCCATTGGCTTACCCCTCAAATGGCTGCCACAGCTGGCACGCTGCACTGATCTGAAGCCAGGAGCCAGGTGCCTCCTCCTGTTCTCCCATGCAGGTGCAGGGCCCAAGGACCTGGGCCATCCTCCACTGCCCTCCTGGGCCACAGCAGAGAGCTGGACTGGAAGAGGGGCAACCGGGACAGAATCCGGCTACCCGACCGGGACTAGAACCCGGGGTGCCAGCACCACAGGTGGAGGATTAGCCTAGTAAGCCATGGTGCCGGCCACAAATATAGTTTTATACTTTTGTCAAACCAATGGTCAAACATGTTATACTGATATAGTTTGAATGATATGATTACTTTAATATTTACTGAAAATGGGTGATATGGTCATTTTTCATTTAATTATTGTTTATAGCCATTATCTATATTCCAACTGAGGTAGAGTATTCTCGCTTTTTTACTTGTTAAGCTTCTTATTTGGTGAAGTATTAAGTCTTTTTACATAATGTAAGTTTAAAATATGTTATCTCAAAAAAACTGAAAAAAGACAAAGAAAAAGAGAAGTAAGGAGGATGAGACGGAGATGAGGGAGGGAGGGAGGGAAGAAGGCAATATCATTATGTTCTTGGAATAGGAACTAAAAATCAAATTGAATCTGTTAAAAACTAACTAAAAATTAAAATTAGAATAATAAAAATTATTGCTTTGTAATATGATTTGAAATCAGGTATTGTGATGCCACCAACTTGATTTTTATTTTCTTTATTTTTTGGCAGGGGGTTTGTTTTTTGTTTGCTTGGTTGGTTTTCTGCTCATG